AGAATTTCTATATAGAATTATATGGGTAATAGTGATTAGAATGAACGATTCATAAATATAAATCCCAAATCACAAAATTCTATGGAATAATGAAAGACAGAAAAATCCTTCGAATTGCATCATATTAGTCGATTATATTTATATTGACAATTTCAAAAAACTATTCATACTATGATCATAGTATGATGGCAGTCGGGCAAGTATGCCCCCATCGTCTAGTGGTTCAGGACATCTCTCTTTCAAGGAGGCAGCGGGGATTCGACTTCCCCTGGGGGTAGGGTACTACGAAAGGAAGTTGATCATGGATTATCAATAAGCTTGGAATTGATTCTTCCCGGGTCGATGCCCGAGCGGTTAATGGGGACGGACTGTAAATTCGTTGGCAATATGTCTACGCTGGTTCAAATCCAGCTCGGCCCAATAATTCGCGGATCCACCATAAAATGATATAACCCATTTGTCCTTCGACAGAAATGCTTGATATGAAAGAATAAAAAAAACTCTTTTTTTATTGATTGACAGATTGATTATCAATCAATTTGACAATAACGAAAAAATGACTATTAATCCATGCTCCTCTCACTAAAGTACATGTCTCCGCGCATATCAATCTATTACTCGCGTCTCTGTCTGGTAAAATATGACAATTCGAATCAAAAATCTACATAGAAAGGTTTGAAGGAAATTAAATCAACAACATATGTTGTACACTTTATTTCCCCGGGATTGTAGTTCAATTGGTCAGAGCACCGCCCTGTCAAGGCGGAAGCTGCGGGTTCGAGCCCCGTCAGTCCCGATGGATCCAAATCCAATAAAAAAAAATACATCAATTCATCTCTTTCTTTCCTGTGAAAGAGAGAACAAATAACATAACTTCGTTTTATTCCAAACGGGATCTCTCTTATTTTTTTTCCACATTTTTCATCAAAAAAAAATATGGAAATTTCCATTTCTTCAACGAGTATTGATTGATGGGAGAAAGCCATATGTGCCATATGTGAATTACCGCAATTATTGGTAGTCCGGATTCGAAAGAATACCGTACTGGGTCGAGTTGATTACGCCCGATTTTTGTAATGGAATAGAGTACTATACGTTTCCGGGAAGCACATACACAGGGAATTTGGACGATACAAAAAAAAATTGTACATAGTAAACTATGATCTAATTTTTAAGTATGTGATAGGTTTAAGTATCGTTCATGAAATCCATATCATTGTGATAGGTTTAAGTATGTTAAGGCTGTGATAAATTAGGTTACGATATGACCATGAAGTGTTTACGATACGATATGATTATGATACGACACCTAAATGACAGATATATATATATATATATACACACAACATTGTGATATGATATGAAAATGATATGAAATATGTTATGGTACGAGACAAGTGATAAGTGACATGTTTATGATATGTTATATTGTGATTATATATGTTATGGTATGATAGGTATGAAATGTTACATCTTTCCATGTAAAGTTATGTGATGAATTATGTGATGTTTATCCATGTATGCGTGATTGGAGGGAAGGAGAAAGGAAATGAAATAAATGTTATCTTAAGAATAAAAATTATGGGACCTCGTGCATGTATGTATGTCATGTGTATCGGGATACTTCCCCGTTATGTTATGTTAGTACGGATGCATACCTTCGATATTTATGTCCGACATGTTATCACGAAGACTTTTTCTTTTATGAGGGTCCAGTGACGTGTATTGTGTTGTGCCCGACAAAGTCCGGCGTAAGGGGCACGTATAACAATTCATTTGATGGGTCCATGTATGTGTACATGAGCCGTGTGTAGAAAAGTACCATGCATCCAACTCTGCCAAGAATTGAAAAAAACCTGAGGTGATGCTATGGTTTAATCCATAAGTCACAGTCATATATTGTGTGTGATTGCATTATTAACTGAATAATATAATTTACACGATATAAGGTATTTGCCTCACTAGTGGTGTTTGTATATCCCAACACAATTTTCACCTTTATAAAAAAATTTAACACCCTCTTGTAATTAAATATTATTTTATATTTAATTTTTGTGTTGTTTATCTTCATTTTAATTTATATTTTTATCGAATTTTCATGTTTTATTTTATTTTACTTTTCATTTTTTGTTTGCTTTTTCATATTTTTAATTTTGGTCGGAAATTCAAATTCTTGAAAATCGGACATCAAGAAAGATTGTGGAACTTATATTGGGAAACTTTTAATAAGATATATGGAAATTCAAGGGTTGTGCCTACCATCCTATTTTAAAATTGATGTGAAGATTTGCAGTAACATGAGCATTTAATACCTATTTTAGATTTTATTATTCTAAACTTTCTCTAATATTTGTTAGTAGAAATCATTATTTTTTTAGTTTTAATATAAAAACGATATTACAATTTTGAAAACTTGTTTCCATACACAAATTTAATTTTTTTTATAATTTTGGAGAAAAACAATACCCGTTCATTATCAAATACATTTCATACAAAAAAATAATAATAAAAGAAAAAAAAAAAAACAACAACAACAACCTTTTCGTGTTATCCCATTATTTTTCATTTGTTCCTCAAGGATAATTCCACCAAATGGAGATAATAAAGCTTCTCTATCTTTTATAGATCCACTTGTGTATCAATTCATCAACATTAGCAAGAAAGTTTCTCAAGTAAATTCCATCATCTTTGGCCGTCCAAATACAAGTTCCTACAGTTCCATGTTTGCACCTATCACGGAGCCATAAGTGCTGCGTTTCAGGCCAAAAGCTTTCAAAAGAGACATATGCATGTGGCGTCTCCAATTTGCACCAATAGAGGGTTGTTCCCCAAAAGTTAACCTTGAAGTTCCATTGGTAATCATCTCCATGATTAAGCAAACGATGATACCCCAAGTCATCGTCTTTAGACTGACAATGCACAAGCAACCCAAGTTTGCTTAGCCCGTTAACCACATGAATGTAATATCTAGAAGGTCCTGGTGGTGGTAACGCGACCCTTGGAACCTCAGCCCCCACTAAAGCCACCGTGAAAAGAAAGAAAACGACAATATTCTTTATCATTTCCTAATACACCTTTAGCTTAACTACCAATTTGTGTTGGACATGTGAATAAATATACATACTTATAGTACATGCAAGAAACTATGTAAATGCATGCTATGGTGGTTAAAAACTTAATGATTTAACTAATTTCGGTTATGCAACACAATTTAAGGTTAATTTTGGGATAATTTTAGAGATTTATTAGATTTTCAATAACAAAATTCCTCGAATAGATAATAGTTACTAGCCCAAGAATAATAAATATTTGATTGATTTTTAAAATACTTTCATAAAATGGACAACAAAATATGCATACTTTCCAGTAGAAAATATAAAATAGAGAAAGCAATTCATAGATTACATATGGTATAGCACTCAAGGTATTAAATTCCCGATTTATTTTTTTAAGTTGAACTTTCAAACTTTTTACGAGGACCTTAGAAATTTTAAGGTGAGGGAGAACAGATAAGTTCAAAAAATTCTAGAACTATAGTTTCAAATAAGAATTGTCATCCATAAGGTCCAAAACGACTTGTCATCCATTAGGTGATCCATCAATAGGAATATCCTACACCCCATATCTCATTAGTGGCATAAAGGGCACATCACACTTTTGGAAGTCCATAAACTTGAACTTAGTTCGTGAAGCCTCCGACCAAACCTTGAAGTCATGACTTCCATTGCTTCATTCTCATTATTGGTGGATTTTATCTCGCAACTTCCCAACTTAACCAAAACTCAATTCAATTGAGGTAGTGGTTTGCTTTGAGGGGTGTTTAATTCCTATAGTGATCGTCTTTGGTTGTATGAACAATATTTCTTAGGTCTACTTATGTGGTTTGTACCAAGGCATTTTCTATACTGTCTAGGGCTACTACGTGCTCTCCACGGAGGCATGCTTGCCATTTAGAATTATGGTCATAGGAGGCTGGGTCCAAGGTATTTCACCTCGTACTAGGTGATAAGGTTACCCAAATCCTCAGCCCAACGATCCAAGCTTTTGTTTTAGCAAGAACCCTTGAATCAAAGTAATTAATACCTCCTTATATGAAATTTGGATCAACCTAGAGATAAGGCTAGAATTAGATTACCTCTTACGATCGAAGATCTAGAAGCAAGATTTGGAACCTTATTCTAAATTGAGTCACTCCACAATCTAACTTGATCAAGGCTTGTTAGGTACATTCAAATGCGATAGGTTTGAAATTAATTGAGCTATTTGCGCATATGTTCAAATTCTGTTGTTGACATATTTTTTTGAATCGGATTTGTCCTCGAATCAGAAAAAAAAATGACATATCTGCCACAACAAAAATACAATCTTTACCATTTTCAGTGTGCAGTCAACCAAGAACAAATTGTATAGATATATTAGTCCAAGGTTTGTTAGGTACATTCAAATGAGTATAAAATTCGTTTGGTTGTGATCTAGATTTAGTTTCTTTGCGTTTAAAACATTTGCTACAAAACTTTTGGATATCGTGCTTCATCTTCGACCAAAAAAAGTGTTTATGCAACATCTTATAAACTTTATTAATCCTGAGATGTCCCATTAAGGCACGACCATGTGCTTCTCTCCAAAGCAAATCTTTTATAGAGCATTTAGGAATACAAAGCATAAAAAATTTATGAAACAAATAATAACCATCCATAGCTTTTTTTTGCAAGACAAGATACATAAATATTTTTGAAATCTTGGTCATCTCTATATAATTAAGTAATATGCTCAAGTTCAAGAATTTTTGCACTAAGAGAAGTAAAGAGATCGTACCTTTTAGATAACACATCAGCTACCATATTACCTTGCTTATATTTGATGACATACAAAAATGTTTCAATAAATTCCACCCACTTTGCATGTCTATGATTCAGTTTGCTTTGACCCTTCACATACTTTAAGCTTTCATGATCAAAATGGATCACCAATTCTCTAGGCCATAAGTAGGGTTGCCACACATGCAATATATGAACTAAAGCAAATAATTCTTTATCATAGGTAGCATATTTTAATGCTGGCTCATTTAGTTTTTTACTAAAATATATTAAGTACTTTCCATCTTGAATTAAAACAACACTTATGCCCAAACCACATGCATCACATTCAATTTCTATAATTTTATCAAAGCTAGCCAAAACAAATGATGGTTTGCTTAATTTCTTCTTAAGAAAATTTGATGCATTCTCTTGCATTTCTCCCCATTTAAAAACAATATTCTTTTTCACTAAGTCATTCAATAGTTCAGTTATGGTTCTAAAATCATTTATAAATCTCTTATAGAGGTTAGCAAACTCGTGAAAACTCCAAAATTTACGTGCACTTTTTGGTATTGGCAAATCCATAATGAATTTAACTTTGTCTCTATCTAAAGCTACTCTACTTTTACCAACTATGAAGCCAATAGAGTTAACTTTTTCTATGCAAAAACTACCCTTATTAAAATTAAATTTCTCTTTTCTATGTGTAATCAAAACTAGTTTAACATGTTCCACATGATCAAGCAAAATCTTCAAATAAATTATAATATCATCAATATAAACAACATGTTTTCTCATATATTTTCTCAAAACATTATATATTAAGCGCATGGGTGTACTAGGAGCATTAGTTAACCTAAAAGGCATAACAAGCCATTCATACAATCCAAACTTAATATTGAAAGTTGTTTTCCATTCATCTTCTACGTGCATTCTAATTTGATGATATCCAGATTTCAAGATAATTTTTATATCTAGACACGAATCATGCAATAAACAAGCAAATCATCTAACCTAGGAATAGGATGTCGATACTTTACCATGATTTTGTTGATGACTCTATTATCCATGCATATGCACCAAGTTTCATCTTTCTTTGGCACCAATAAGTCTCGTATAGAACATGGTCTCAAACTTTCCCGTACATAGCCCTTCTCCATGAGCTCCTCCACTTGCCTTCAAATTTCTTTTGTCTCGGTTGAATTGACTCGATAAACTGGCTTATAAGGAATAACAGTCCTTGGAATGAAATCTATTTTATGTTCAGTACCTCCAATGAGAGGTATTTCTTTATCTTGAAACATTTCTTCAAATTCCTGGAAAAGAGATTGAAAAATACCCGGCAAAACCATGTTGTTATAGTTAGAGACCAAAAATCCTCCATTGTACACAAGTACAAAAATCGATTTTTGTGAAAACCTTCTCACCTCTACAACCGTAGCCAAATAACTCTCTCTTTCTTTTTTCTTCAATTTCATCTCTTTTTTCATTATTCTTTTTTTTTTCTTAGATTTTTCTCTATTTTTTCACTCAACTCTTGTTTTTCTAACTCTTTTTCCTCACACTCTTTCTTTCTTTTCTCCAACTTTAATTGATCAGCAAATACATTTGCAAAACTCAAAGGTACAAGAATGGTTTTTCTACCATCTTTTACAAAAGAATACCTATTCAAATAGCTATCATACATAACCCTCCTATCAAATTGCCATCACAAAGAACTTCATCTTTATATTTTTCCAAAGTAAAAGATATTAAAGCTTGAGAAACTACCTTCATTGTTCCACTATCATTGAGTCATTGGAGCTTGTAAGATTTAGGATGATCTTGGGTCGGAATTTGCAACCTTTTGATCAACATGGTACTTACAACATTGGTGCAACTTCCACTATCAATGACAAGACTACAAGCAGTCCCCTTGACTAAACACCGCGTGTGGAACAAGTTGTCTCTTTGATCATCAACATCCGTAACTTGAGTTTTAACAAGTCTTCTTGTAATAAGTGCCAAATGAATCCAATCTTCCAATTCCTCCTCATTCTTCTGGACTTCTTCAACTAGATCATTGATCTCCCCTCCATTTTCCTCGTCTTGGTTCATGATTGTACACACAGTAGTAAAATATGTTTAGGACCTCAGACACTCAACTCACTGATTTTACACTTAGGGGCACTCTTGTTTATACACACAAAGGTAGGTTGTTTGGGAAAGTGTGATCAAGGTAGGCTAATATATGGGTAAAACAATTATGATAGTAGCAAGCTATTCAAGGCAATCAAGATAAGTTAATTATGAAATAACAACAAAATAAAACAAGTGAATAAACAAATAAGCGACAAAGATATTTTTCAATATAATTGCACACTGAAAAAAAGAATTTCAAAGAGAATGGTCGTGAAGATCGAACACAACAATTCCAGATTTATATGCTTTAGGGAAAAATGAGAATTGAAATTTATTTGATCTTCAAATAAATGTGCAAATGATCTAATAATAAGGATTTATTAAGAGAAATATGATAAGGATTTTTTTTTTCAAGATCTAAATAGGATCTTTAAGAGGATGCTAAGAACAAAATAGAAAGATAATGAAGAACGATGGAAATGACAGTAAGAAAATAAATAACAGCTTTAAAGAAACGATAAATAACAGTGAAAATTAAAGATAAAATCAATTCTAGAGTCAGCCACAAAGATGCAATCTACGCTCTGATACCAAATTGATAAGGCAACCCTAATCCTCAGCCCAACGATCCAATCTTTGGTTTTAGCCAGAATCCTTGAATCAAAGTAATTAACACCTCTTTATACAAAATTTGGATCAACCAAGAGATAAGGCTAGAATTAGATTACCTCTTACAATCGAATATCTAGAAGCAAGATTTGGAACCTTGTTCTAAATTGAGTCACTCCACAATCTAACTTGATCAAGGCTTGATTGAATGGCTCGGGTGCAATTCAACCACAAGAATTGCTTGAAACTTAGAAATGGCAAATATGATGCTCGGATTTCTAAGGGAAACGTCTTAATTTGAGATCTGAATTACTTTCATCCACGAATTTGAATTTTACATAACATATTGTGGGTATTTATAGTCTCCCGACAAAAGACGTTTGTGGACGGGATTTATTCGAGACGTTTGTGGATGGGATTTATTCCCGATTCTCTTTAATCTCCACAAAAGAATAAGTCAAATTGACCATTTGACTTTTACATAATTTATGAAATTAAACATAGATTTTTTAAACAAATGTTGATGTGCTTGA